TATTTTCATAAACATATTTCAGTTTTTATTTATGTTTAAATATTTTCCGGTGATGGGTAAGTTTGAAGGCAATTTATTAAAGAGGAAAAGTGATAATACGTTTATCAAATATTACAAGCATATTTAATGAATGCGGGAACAATCATAACTTTTTATGTGGCACAATCGCAACAAATTAAAGTAAAAAAGTCGAACAATCAGGATGTTGACAAAAAAATATCAGATATGAGTTAACCTGTCAAAATTAGTGTTCATTTAAAATGATTTGCATATTATTGTCAAGGATGTTATCCTTGCGACACATGGCACTAACGGGAGTTGTAAGTTGTAAGTTGTTATCCTTGCAATATTTTTGTGTCTTGATTTGGCCTTTTAGCTTTTTTGAGTCTGTTGTAGACGAAACGCGCTTCTGCCGTATAACATGACAAACCTTGTATCTTTGAAGAGTTATTTTTTGCTAGTAAATAGAATAGAAACGGAAGACAAGAAAGTGAAAAAATCATTATATAGGAACAATAGAAATACAATATCTGTTTCTAAGTACATTTGGGTCACATTTAAGAGTAAATGCAAATTTTCGGAAAACCGGAGATCTATGTAAACGTTTCTCGTAGTTCTGTTTTAATATGAGTTTTAGGAACATTTTGTGATTTATACGTGAAATACAAATATTTGTTTAGAATATTGAATCCATGTCGGTTTTTTGTTTCGCAGAATTTGATATTTTGCTTTATAATAATGCAATCCATTTTGTAAACTAAAAAAGCTTTTACAAAATAACTATTTATAAAGAGATATTTTACTTGATATAAAAAGATCCTAGATGTTTGCACAGTCGTTTGCAACGTCAACCAAAATTACCCACAGTTGCATCCTTAACAGTTTATAATGTCGGATGCCCTAATTCCATTCATAAAATGTAAACAATGTCCTTATTAACCAGTCTTATTTAAGTTAATTAACCATTATAACTACGGATCTATTGGTAATCCTTGATAGAATTGGGTTGTTACATTTCATGGTTTATCAATATAAAGTGTAAATACAATAATAATCTGAGGCTAGCCTATCAAGGAAATGAAATGACAATTGCATCTATTTTCATTTGTTTCACACCAAAACCTCGACTATTTTGATGAATCAACTATTGATTGAGGCCTGATGCCAGGCTTGCGTAGGCGTAAAACACTCGGTTTGAGTGATATTGGATGATGGAGCTAGCAAAGATAATTCGATATTCTCTTCACAATGACAAGATGGATTTTTACTTCGTCGATGAAACCAAGCTGTAGAAATGTCTCGCACAAACAATGTTGATAAAACAAATGTATTTGTAATTTGAAACTTTGTTGGCTTCACAAGGGAACGGTATTATGGTTTATATTCTAGAACATAATCTGTCGTACATTTATGGAAATTTATTTTTTATTATTTAATTGCAGCAGTTACGGTTATGCCCGCGAGAAAACTAAAGCCGTAACCATCTTTCCAAAAATTGTTTAAACATGAACATTATATGAATAGATAAAAAAAAAACAATATACGTTTAAGATTAATGCAACTTTACTTTATACGTGAAGATTAAATAATCAAAACTTGATATATACGAAGGCACTTATAAAGCAACACACATTCTTTAATCATGGCGACACATACCAATGTTCTCTGTTTGACAATAGGCTACCTTCCTGTTTTGACTTAATTCTGTATCTCCATTCAGAAGTCTTTTGTTGCTTTCAATATCTATATGCATTAAATTGTTTACATCTAATTGTATATTTTAGAAAACCTTGAGGTTTACAGATGTATTTTATCAACTTTATTGATTTAATGACAGAATTATAAACTTATGGTTCGTAATGTGAATAAATAGAAAACCCAGATTTAGTAAATTTTGTTTCTTTTTACAAAAACAAAGCTTAGGTTTACTTTTCTTGTTACAAATAGATTTGCAAACATTTTTTAAATAGTGATCAAGTTTGTTGGTATGATATTTATTTGTAAATGGTTTTATTTATAATCTATGCTTTTAACTTTTGCACTATTGTGTTTTCATCCTGTAAAAAGGTATATGTTGGGAAAATTTTTATTTCTATCTGTTTGGCGGCTCTTCGTAATTTTTATTCATGTTTTTATCTGGGCTTGAATATCCTGTAAGAAGATTTTAAAGACAGCATTTCTGTAAAAAAAGAACATGAATTGAGAAAAGAGTATTAGTACAAAATACAGAAATAAATACTGGTAAAAATGTTGCAGGAAGAAATACGTAACCACCTCTAAAACTCTACCCGATAAAGTACCCAGTTAGGCATACCCTCACATCCGATATACAGATTTGTTTGGAATGAAATGGAGTTCTTATATTTCTAAGATAAACTATCTAATTTTAATATTAGATTGAATGTAACGGCTGTAACATACATCTATCAAAGAAGTAGTTTCACAAATGGTTAAAATTAGCCTTTACGTTTAAATAATATTTAAATCTGTCCAAAGAACTGCAAATTATTTTACAACGACATAGTTGTCATATAACTATTAATAAATAGTTGAATATACTAATAAATAGTTACCTTCCTAATGAAGGTAAATCCAGAAAACGCGCTTCGGACGCATGAAATTTATTACGTGTTGTTTACAGCACTAGGTCGATACCTCTGCTGGTGGACTATCAGTTCCTAAGGGTAACATCGGCTCAGTAGTCAGTACTTCGGTACTGACATGATTTATAAATAACCTTTCAAAAATTGTCCGTTTATAAATTTTGAAACTATAAAGAAAATAAGGTTTCAACTCCCTCAGGCAAAGCTGACCTTAGATGGATTTGGCTATTATTGTAGGTCATATAGTTCTTCAACTGTTTCGGTTCTGTTACATCCTTGGCTTTCAAATATTCGGCTTTAAGCCTTCCTGATGAAGGTAAATCCAGAAAAAAGCTTCGGACGCACGAAATTTATAACGTGTTGATTTTATTTTTAGTACAAAATAATTTATTTTTCTCACATCACACCCCATAAAAAATTACGAAGTTATGACTCCTAAATTATGCAATATTAATGTTATAACGTCATTTTTGTGCAATTTTTCCAAATCAAACAGTTTTTGGAAAAGGAAACTTTGATCGCAACGCCAGATCCAATAAATGATTATTTCTAGGGATTCAACACAAACCTTGGAAGCTTTTGGTTCGTAGGATGCGACCAGTGTTGTTCTAGAGGAGAGATTTGTTTTACTTAGCAGTAAGGCTTTTGAAAAGAAAAAAGAAAAGAACTGAAGAATCAAATTTTTGATAATGGATGATTAAATCAAAATTCAAGGCCTCATTTTAGTAAAAGTGAACCTTGTCATTTCAGAAATTACCTCGTTTAATAAAAATGGATAAAACCATTTTAATTGTTTTTATGTTAAGGTGTAGGAATGGTGTGGTTTGCTCTTCCAAATTAAAAAAAATTAATATCAGCCTTTTTAATCGCGTTTAGAAGACAATAACATTTTGTTACATGTGGTTGGATCTACTTTAAAAAAGCTATATATTTACTCTTTGAATTAAATTAATAGTAATTTTTATTATTTACATAAATCGTAGGTATATAAATCATCTAATAACATTACCTTTATATAATTAATCAGAATACTTGTTTTAATATTACTTAATATCAAAGGAAAGACTTTTTTTTAATTTTCTTTATTATACAAGTAATTGCATTTTTATCTAACGAACTGAGTGTGTCGGGTTTATAACAAATTGTCAATGACACAGTTCACGAAAGATACAGATGTCCCGAGTCCAACATACGGCCTTTAGAAATATGCATGTGTATGTACAATATGTCAAATTTACAATAGTCCTGAGTGTAGAAACGTTGCAATAGAACTGAGGATACTTTTCAAAATAAAAATTGAAATGAAAATTCGATAATCAATCAAGAGGATTTAAAAAAAATTCAAATATTCTTTATTGTCCCTCGCGGAGGGGGCATTAAGTTTTACCTTTGTCCGTCTGTTCGTCCGTTCATCCAAAAATTAGTTTCCATTCTCGAGTTATGTTTCTTTATAAATGGAAAAATTGCTAAATTTGTCGTTTCCGCACTCTTACTTTAGGTTGCTTCAACCAAATGTTATGAAACTTATACACTATGTTTTTACTACCTAACACAGATCGAGTTTAAATATGGATGGCGCACTTTCACCGTTTTGGAGTTTCGTTCCTTTGTAAATAACTCACACTAACTTTAGTTTGCCTCAACCAAATGTTATGAAACTCTTACACAATGCTTATTACCTTCAAAAACAGATCAAGTTCGAATTTGGCGTCACTTTCACCAATCTCAAGTTATGTCCCTTTGTAAATTGAAAACATTCTGAATTTGCCGTATATTTACCAGTGGGGGCATCTGCGTCACATGAACTCATTCTTCATTGTTTTCCCTTCTCAAGTGACTATAACAGATACCAAAATATAGTGAATGCAAAATTGCACGCAAATAAGTAAAGAAATAAAAAGAACAAAAAACAAAACGACAGAGAGAGAGAGTTTTTTTTAATCTAGTGCGATTCAAATATCATATGACATTGAGCAAACAACATATGATCAATCAAAATAAGCCTTAAAAAGTTATTACAATTTTGCCCTAGCCAACTTTAATCGTTGATTAAACTGGTAGTGGCGACTGTAAAATCCAAGACCTACCTCGGCAAGTTGAAACAGCAATTAACACAGCTTCTTTTTTTATTTAACTCTCAAAAGCGGTAGGCCCTAATGTGTAGTCAAGGTTTTGAAACACCCCCGTAGAGTAAACATCTCGCGTTTTCAATCACCGCACTGATTACGATAAAAAATACCAGGCAGATATATTCAGATTCACACACATATATATTTCTGTAGATTGATATTTCCGCAGTCAAAAAGTATCGCCATCTACTGTGCGACTTGTATTGTATACATATGAAGTATAATTTATGTAGAAAACGTTTGTTAATCTTTTTAATTTCACTTTCAGATAAATTGACGATGTCCTTATAATCAATTGTAATATGTTCCACTGACACTTGGGGTAAGTCACACTGAGTAGATTGTCTGCTTCAATATTTATCTCTATTTTCTTAAATTTTGTTTCACATGTTTTCTTTAGATATAGCAGCAATTAGATGCTGGTGAATGTATAAAAACGCAACAATGTCATGCCAGATTGAAACATGGTTTTCTTTTAAATATTTTAATTCCCATTCGCATGGACATAGTCTAGTATGTTACTACTTAAAAAAACTGTATATCGATAAACCTGTTACTCATGGGGGTTTATCACAACTATCACAGATAGACTCGAAACAGCGATCTAAAATAACAGAATTATTATGATAATTTCGACTGCTTTGAGTTGATCCTTTTGGATTTTATTCTCCAAAACGTTAAATTCTCTGTTTCTCAGCATCTCATCTTATTAAAAAACATACCTTTATTCGGTCATACTTCCCAAAATGTGCATTATCGTCAATCTGGGTTTTATAACCAGTTTTCACAAATTCCGCGTCTTGAAAAAAAATGAAAACAACACGTTGTTAATTTGATGCGTCCGAAACCTCCTTTTTTGACACGAGTTTGTAATGGCTTATGGTGATCCATGAATAACAGTTCCAACTCTCTGAGGCAAAGCTGACATTTGATGAATTTGCTATTCTTTTTATGTCTCTTACGGTCATATTGCATCTCACGTTTCCAGGTCTCATACATCCTTAGCCTTAATATTTTTGTTTTTGAGCGTTCTTGATGAAGGTAAAAATAAAAAAAAAGCTTCGGACGCACTGTTATTTTTTATTCCCTGTTACTTGGTCGATACTACTGCTGGTAGACTTTAAGTATTCGAGGTTATCATAAGCTCCGTAGTCACTACTTCGGTACTGACATGATAAATATTCTTTTTTAAATATCCCGTTGCTAAATAGATGAATTACTTAAAAACTAAGGTTCGAAATCCCTCAGGCAAATTTGACCTTAGATAAATTAGCTATTTTTTCTATGTCCCTTTTATCATATAGCTCCTCACTTTTTCAGGTCCGAATACATGATTGACGTTCAAATTTATGTATTTAAGCTTTTCTGATGAAGGTAAACCCAGAAAAGCGCTTAAGACGGATAATTTATTTAGGGCTATTTTCATCTTTAAAACCATTTTCAAATCTATTTTTTGTTTATCTTTGATAATTCCTCAAAATAAACAATCGTCTTTGGGAGGTTTACTGGTAATATTTTTCTCTTCATGTATTTGTTGATTTGAATTCATTGTAGTGATAAACTCTTTCACTTTTACTTTCACTTACGAACTGAAGGAGTTTATGATAAGGGTGTGAGTGAAAGCAAATTTACACATTAATTAACTCAGGAAAAAATAACACCAATTACTAACAATTCCAATAAAATGCACTAATAAATACGCCTGCGTAAGAATTTATACTCGTGAGGACATAAAACGGGTTTATAAATGTATAAACATTTTTTGCTCACTAATGAAACAACATCTAGCTGAAAGCGTTAGAATCATTAATAGTTATCAAAGGTACCAGGCTTATAATTTGAAACGCCAGACGCGCGTTTCGTCTACATAAGCCAAACAAGAATAAAGTTGAAGAGCATTAAGGACCAACATACCAAAGAGTTGTGCAAATACGGCTAAGGTAATCTATGCCTGGGATAAGAAAATCTTTAGTATTTCGAATAATTCATACTTTTGCAATCAGTAAATTAATAAAAATGACCACATAAGAATGATTAGCCCCTGCAAACTCACGTTTAACATTGTTAAGACCCAAGAAAGAACAGAACAATATATAGTAAGCATGATAGAATAAAACTTAACCAACGTACTGTATTATATTGAAAGATACATTTTTTTGGTAGTTTAGACCCTAAAAAATTTAAAAGATTCAATCATCACCACTTTTAACTGATTTTAAAAGTATATCGAATTTAGTGATTCTATATAGTATTCAAAACGATTGACTGCAAACACATAAATGTTGTATTTTTTTTCTTTTACATATAAATTAGTCAAACTTCATGATCAATTATTCCTTATAGAGAAAATTCTTGTGTTTTGTGCTTTTGAAATCACTCCAGTCATGAATCCTGTTATAAAACAACGAATTACTTAGTATTTGATGTACAATATAGAAAGATAATTACAGTTATAACAGTATGAATATTTGTCGCTATGCTCTTTTGGGTGGCAAAAATAGTATAAAAGTATTATGACATAGATAACAGGATTTCTTGGACATACATAATGAATATTCTGTACTGTTGTTTTTAAGCTCACGAACAAAAAAATAAGAAGATCATAAGTACATATACTTTATGTGCATTTAATCATCAAATGTTTTGTTTGGAAATTTTGCCCTGTGAATAAAAAAACTAATTGAAATTTCTTTTGCGAAAAGGACTTCTGCTCTGTTGCGTAAGATGGTTAACAATAATCATTGAAAAGTTAAAGAACGATAATTGTTATGATATTTTTTTTTAGTTTGTAGAACTATTTAACGTAGGATCAGTCAGAATATTATTTATATGCAGTAATTGATAAGCTAATACTTTAAGATACTGTTTTAGTTGTTTCCGAAGGTAAAAAAAAGCACAAAAACATTGTATCTAAAGTTTTGATAAATGTTCCAATAAAACAACTTTTGGGTATTATCACATATACCATAAATCAAAATTTATTTTTGTATACACGACAGGAAATGGTATTAGAATACTTTAATATTAATGTAAACTGACAAGTTTTTTGGCGACCAGAAACCAGATAACTAATAGTGTGATTTACTTTTCCGCACAATTGTTTGATATTTAAAACAGCTCGTGCTGGTGCGATACTAAAGGGTTAAACTAATGTGAACAAATAAAAACTAATGACTAAAAAATCCCAAACAAGCAAAAAGTAAAATAACAAAAAATACCAAACTCCAAAGAAAGTTCAAAACTGAAAGTCCCTTATCCAATGCCAAAATCAAAAGCTCCAACACATCAAACGAATGGAAATAATATTTATAAATATCTGTGAGCTAGGTTAGGATCAAATAGCATCAACCGTTCAAGTTAATTAAGAATTTAGATTTAAGTACTCCGAAACAACCACAAGTTCACCATAAAAAGGATAAAGGATAAAACGTTTACTTACTTCTATGTATAAGAAAACAAGGTCCACATATACTGTCTAATTGTTTTGATGTTTGATTTTTTTGGGGGAGGAGGTCTTCAAACGAGTATCTTGAGAAAGAAACTCTGAGACCTGCAATTTATAACCTAAAGAATATCACAGTGAAAAGAACATTTAGACTAAATTTCATGACAAACACAACTGAACATAAATAACACAAATTTACGAAGATAGACGAAAAAAAAGTTTAATCACAAAAATACTGAACTCCGAGGAAAATTCAAAGCGGAAAGTCCCTAACCAAATGGCAAAATCAAAAGCACAAACCCATCAAACGAATGGACAACAACTGTCATATTCGTGACTTGGTACAGGCATTTTCTTATGTAGAAAATGGTGGATTGAACCTGGTTTTATAGCGCTAAACCTCTCACTTGTATGAAAGTCGCATCAAATTCCATTATATTGACAACGATACGTGAATAAAACAAACAGACATAAAAGGTAAGATTGTCAAAATAGGGGTACAACAGTCAACACCGTGTCACAATCTTAATCACAACAAAAACAAACAAATATTTAACAAAGAAACACAAAAAAGCATATATCACATTTAACAACCTTGTTCATTGCTTACTTATTTTTGTATTTTAATTATGTTTGCCAAATCAACCCATAAAGGATCGAGGGATTTTAAGCACTGGGACCGAATCGTAATTTTAACATTAACTCTGGCGTAGAACCGTGTATTTGACGCCAGAATGTAAACGTCACACAGGTAGAGATATAGAATAATTTTGTCGTTCAAAGTATGTGAAATATTGCTTCAAGATAAGAACAAACAGTTATAACTGTGTAGAAATGGATACGTTAAACAAATACTAGGACAATTCTTGTTCTATAATAACAGAATAAACTGAAATACAGAAAATGTGTCAACATGTTTGTATGAAGAAAAAGTTCATCAACTGTGGACAGTCAAGTGAGCTCCAATATGTTCGCAAACATGATATGCAAGATAAAATCGGGTTATTTCTGAAAAGGATATAAGTTCGGATAATTTCGAAAAATTGTGCCAAATACTACTCAGGTTATATATGCCTTCGGGTATAAAAACCTTTATATTTCGAGATTCAACTTTTTATAAACAATAAATTTACAGAAAATTAACATATCAATGATATTTCATGTCATCACAAAACTACTGAGCTGGTGATACCTCCTGGAACGAAACGTCCACCAGCAGTGACATCGACCCAGTAGTTGTAAAATCTCATCTAAAATACCAGATTTAAAATTTGGTACGTTAGACGCGTTTTTTGTCTTCGTGGTACTAAAATCAAATCAAATACGAAGTTTAAGAGCATTATAAACTGAAAATTCTGAAAAAAGTTGTGCAATATTCTGTTAGTTTAATCTATGCATGTTGTTCAAATATACAATAAGCAACCTATTGTCGAGTAAATAGCGAAGCAGCGAACATTTGTGTTTTTTATTTTGTGCTTAGCATGATGAGTCACACCCTTTTTACTTTATTTTTATAGTTTGTTATTATGTTTTTGTTACACCACTGTCCCAGGTTATGGGATAAGGGGATTTAGTGAAAAAAAGTTGCAATGATACGCGAAAACTCGTAGAATAGACTAAAACTATATAGTTTTATATTCTATGAAAATATCTTGCAATAAATTAATAGGTATTTCACACAATTTGCATAATATGTTATATTTACCATTATTCTTAAATATAGAGAAGAGATCCGTAAGTGTAAAATTAGTTCTATGTTGAATTCGTTTATTTATAACTACTGTTATTGTTCGTAGTTAACTATATTCTCTCTTCTTTATTTCCTTTTATTTCGTTCACCGAAAGGAATTGATCACCTATTTTAATGCTCCCGCCAA